CTTTCATTTTCGATTTTTAATTCACGTAGTCCGGGAACTTTCCGGACAAACTGTGTATATTAGTTTCAACGTAGTGCGAATATATTATTCCTCTTCTCGAATTAATGATTTAACGACTTCCAGATTTTGTAAATTAATACATACGTGATTAATCGTAAAATGGATTTCAAACGATGTTTATTTGGACACAAATATGATAGCGCGTTTAAAGCTGTTTCGCGAGAACACTATCATTAGCAACAATAAAACACTTTTAATTGACATACACACGTACACACAAAAACACTTCCTTAAATATACTTTCTCCTTCTTTTTTCGCGAGAGAAAACATAACTCGCGCGGTGAAATTAATTGCGACGAGTTACTTCGTTCTGCAATTTTTTGTTAGTGCAAGAGCGAGCCGCAGTCAACATGCCGCTGCGTTCACGAAGAAGAACAGCGTTACGTCGCAAAGACGAAGGAGCCCGGACGCTCCCTAATGCACATCCGACGCCAACTTTGTTGTGTGCTTTACGACACACATACAAGGCACGACGATTGTATGACGGAAAGATTACGCGTTTAAGAACAAAAACTTTGGAGGAGAAAGTAGCTAAAAAAATATATTTATTCTTTTGTGTGTTTTGTTTTTATTTTTTTATTATCAACATTAAGTAACAATAAATTCTTTGCTTCTTTGTCACAGAAAAAGATTCGGATTTTAAATCCGAAAATAAAAGTTCGTCGCTCGTCTTTCTCAGCGACAAATGAGACATACCGCGCTTCCGCACGTGCTACGTGATGCGCGCACTTATTTACACAGAGACGAGACGCAAGTATCTCTGCTGTGTCATGTATGCGGCAGTTCTCGTATTCGCGCCGGTCGGCGGTACCGTTACCGGTTGCAGACTGCAGCCGCGCCTCGACAATCGCGGATTAACGTTGTGTGTCGAGCGCGAATAGGAAGACGGAAGCACGCTGCGATTTCTCTCGCAAATTGCACTTGCCCTGTCATTCGAGAAAGAGAGAGAGAGAGAGAGAGAGAGAGAGAGAAAATGTGTGTGTGTGTGTGTTGCTTCATCCACTCAAAAATTAGCTCCAAAGTGAAATGTCGGAAATTCGAACAAATATTCTGTTAATATTCTACGTCGTTTTCTTCTTCTCCACTCGTCGGAGACGCTTTTTCTGATCGCGACGTTTTTATTCTCGCTGTCAGACACGGCGAAAGTGAAACACACGCAAGTGGCTTATTCGGCCGTCGCGGAACAATTTCCAATGCCCGAAGAACGCGTTTCGATGTTTCTTTCCGACTTTTACACGTAAAAGTCGTACAATTTCCGAGTCGACAGAATAAGTGCTCTCGAATGGAAGAGAGTTTCTTTCGTGACGGCGACGTCGAAAAAGCCGTCGAATTTCTATTTGTAACCTCGCAAGTTTGAGATTGCGAGCGATCGCGTTTCAACGCTTTTTTAGACAATCCTTTCTTCGTTTACGTCTCACTTCACTCTCTCGTCCTCTCGATTACGACTCGACGGCAATCCGGCGATTGAGCCAAGGAATTGTGTCGCCGAACGGGAAGATAAACTGCGCCAGCTAAGTGCCGCTGCGTGTTTCACATTTAAAATCACCTTTTGAGGAAAAATCACGCTTTTTTTTATCGCTCGATTGATATTACTTGCAAATTTGATGTTAAAAGTGGATTTGAAATTTTTGTTTCGCGAGATAGAAATGTATAGGTAAAAATAAAATTCAGGCAGCGGGAAAGAAAATTAATTGCCGGGCTTAATATTACCCTCCCTTTAGGAAGAGAAGATTCCGAGTCGAACAATCAACGAATTGATAAATCACGGGGACGACGCCGCTACTTTTAGGTAACTTGCCAAAGCGCGTTGCGCCGCGGATAATCGTCGCAAGAAAGCGAGGCGGTCTGAGAAGAAAATACCGAGAGCGCATGCATGATTCTTAAGTGCTCCGTAATAGACTTTTGGGAACCGGGCGCTTTTAGAATTTCAGCGAGAGTGATTCACCCACTCCCCCATTCCACGCGAGAATGCGTACAAGAGGGTCAACGAGATTTCGCCGCGCTTCCATACGGATGCAGCTGTCGCGCGCGCGCGCGTGCGTGTACACATGCGAGCGACGCTTATACCGGGTGTTTTCTCGAAACAATTCAATCAAGACCTTTTGGATTTTGAAGTGAAACGGTTTCAAATTATAGATTAGTAGTATTTTATTACAATTATTTAAGGGACGCGCGCAGCTCCGATTGCTCTCGTGACGTCCACGCGGTGTCAAGGTCCGTCGGCTCTTTAGAAGAGATTAGAAACTTTCAGCCGACATTTGTTTTTCAGCTTTTTTTATCCTTTGGTAGAAGTTTCCATTGCGCGATAAAAATTATTTTAACCACGTGCGCGAGAGACTCAATTTGATACTTGTTGAAGATTGCGTGGAAAATTCGTCGATGATCGACATCTAGTATCGATAACGTTTCTCTCACGCACCATATACACCGGTGCGGGGTAGGACTTCCTGGTTCTCGGAGCAGCGTTCGTGCGCACGCGTTCGCAAATATTACGGGCGCGAACACACACGCCGCTTACGCACGCGCTATTCGCGCACCCGCCGCCGCGTTGTTTTGCGTGCGAGCCGAGAAAGATCAAAGTCATCCGTGCTAGATATTTCATCGCGGACGTCTGAGCGGCTGCCAAGAGTTCCAAATGCAGCAGCGGTCCGGGAGAATTTGCGAGCGGAAGTGCCGGCAAAAACACTGTCGCCGGGTGGATCCGCATCGCAGCAGCGAGGTTGCGACGCGGCTCCGCGTAACACGACGATGTGTTATTCATTGTTGCGTTGTTATTGTTATCTAATCGTGTGAAAACCTCGTTGCGTGATACTTCCTCGTGCAAAAAATGATGGGGAAATGTTTAAAAAAAAAATTGAAAAGTGTTAAAATCAGTAAGAAACGTATTTTTACGCAGAAACCAACGAGCAAATCGCGACACTTTGTTACGCGAAAGCTAATTTAACTGTGACGATAATTTATTCTTGTTTGTTTTGTTTTTTTAGGGCTTCCAGCGGCCGCGGATCCGACTTGCCCCTCAGCGCGGATCTGGCACTTGACAAGCCTCGTCCTATACCGTCTCCAAGGTAAGAATTTACTGTTTTAAAATAACACGTTCAATTATTGAAAAAAAAAGAGGAAATGTTGCAATGTGACGATCAAACGTTTGAAACGGACTATCAAGCGCCACCGTAAACGAATGTTGCCAATCGCGGTTGTTTCGACATTACGCAACAACGTAGAGCAAGTAGCAACGTCAATTATAACATCCTTTATTATTTTAACGCAACCCCGGCCTTTAAACGGGGTCTTCGGCCTCATCAGGGGGCGACGTAACCGTCGCGTTCGGGCGAAGCGTGACGGAGGCGCGAAAGCGTCTTCGTTACACAACGCATTTGCGTACACGTGCAGAGAGAAAGAGAGAGAGAGAGAAAAAAGAACTTTAAAGGCTAGAAGTTTAAACTTAAACGATTCGTGAAATAATCGTCGAAAGTGGAGCGGTTTCCTGCTCTGTAATCCTGTCGCGCGCGATGCCGCTCCTCGGCAAGATTATTGACATTGATACGCAAATGCATCTGTCCGTACAATATCGGTCACCGCGTCTGCACTCGATGTCGCGCGCGCTCTCGGAGAAAGAGAGAGGAGAGAGAGAGAGAGGAAAAAAAGCAAGAAAAACAAAGAGAGAATATTCGAGCAAGTCGCCTTTGTTAAAGCGCTTTAAGTCGGTCACTCTTTTCCGCTTGCACAATGACATGCTATCGCGCTAGAATGCACGCGTGTCGATCGCAGACCATGTACACGTTGCCTGCGCGTTGTCCGCGCGAATTAATTGCGAAATGTAAAATGGGAGTAAAAACAAAGATCGGTTTTTTTCCCGCGTTTTTTTATTTAAAAGAGACAACAATTGAGACACTGAATTGGAAATGTGCAAACGTTCGAGCGCAGTGTTTTTTTTTTTTTATTTACCGATAGTCGTCGTTAAATATTGGTTAAATTTTTACAACACGCGACCTACTGTTGGTTAAGGTGGTGTGTAGTGAGATGACGCTTTTTTACCCTCTGTTGCAGACAAATCCATCCCCTGTACGGTGAAAAAGCAGGTCTGTTAGGCTACTGCGATACCGTCGGTAACACAGAGAATTTTCCACCAGCCCCCAACATCGTCGTTGAGGGTGGTAGAATCGAGTTCGTGCGCCCCTCGCAAGATGGCACACCGACAACCCGGAAGAACACCATGTCCCGAGCCTCGCAAACCTTCAACGAGCAGCCAGAGAAGTCCGATCCCGCCAAGGTAAGATGTGCGAGACACACACTGCTCTCTAGATGTATATTTACATAAATGCATTAGAGTGTGTAGGTAATTTTATTTTTTATTGTTCACTAGTAAATTAAACAATCATATCATAGAAACAACACAATATGAAGATGAGACTGCTAAACTTTTTTTCGTATTACCGTACATTCATGATTCACTATAATTTAAAGTTCAACCACATCAAAGTTAACAATGAAATCATTAAACCATCGTATCAATTTAAATCGGTTGTCCAAATTCATAAAAACACACAAAGATTTTGTTCCAATTAACAATCAAAGAAATGTAGTTTATCATTGTGAATCTTCACATGTTGGACAAACTAAGCGTCAACTCAAAACTAGAATAAAAGAACACATGCATTATATTAGGACTGGACAAATTGAGACATCGGTGATTGCTAAACATTGTATTGAGACTGGACATAATTTTGATTGGAAGACAGGTAAGGTATTAGATAAGGAAAAAACTATTATAAACGACAGACTTCGGAAATGCTATTTATAAAGAAACAGGAGAGGGGGTTGAATTTGATGAGAGACACAGAGTTTTTGCACGATATATATATCCCAGTACTTGATAAAGTTAAATGTAGAGGGCTTTGTGTCGATCGTTGATTTTGACTTAATGCTCTCAGAACTAGTGTCAATTTGTACTTTGTTCAAGCATGACGTGTAATTGATACTCGAATTTGTACAATTTTCTATAGTTTTTTATTGAGTTTGTTGACATACTTAATGGTTTTTTCTTTTTAAATAAGGTATGACATTATAAATTATGTTAAATATTTGGTAATTCTTTTGTGAATTTTACTGATTGTAATTTATGTTAATAGAATCGATTGATAAGGACTTAAAAATAAAGTCGAAACGTTTCGAAACATGAATGTTGTATTATTCAATGCACAACATCCTGCATCTAGGCTCTACATAGCCAAGAATTTTAACAGATACTTTAATTTTATTTTATTGCAAGACTTCTTTTGGATTTTTTTTTATCTCATCGAGTGATCCAATTAACGCGCGAGACTCGCGACTAATTACGACTCCTCGAGTTCCAACGAGATTTGTCAGCGGTGATTTTCACCTTCTGACACGTGAGATCTGATTGGATCTATCTGGTCGACCCTCAAGAAGGTCCTTCTCGAATTTGTGTTCGCGATTTCGTGTCATTCCACACACGGTCCGAGCGCGCACAAACTCTCGCGCGGCGGCCTCTCCACCCTTTATACCTTTCATATTATTCATTCGACGTAATTGATTTCGTCGACAGAGGGACGACGAAGGATTTCCATAGTAAATTGGATCATGCTCTTTCTCTTTCTTTCTCTTTCTCTCGTCGTCGTTAGAACGAAAATAGAGAGAGAGAGAGAGAAAAAGAAGAAGAATAGTCGCTGCACGCGCCAATACGGCGATTACTCCGAAATTAACGTTGTTTTGCACGCTGCGTTAAGTCGTTGACGAAGGACGGATGAGTCCTAACGAGTTAATGAAATTCATTTGACCCTCCTCTCTTCGAGGACGGAGCGGACGCATTTTATAAAGCGCGCGGCAGATATTAAACTCCTTCGTGATGTCATCATCGCGCGCAATCACATTTGCATATGTTTAATCAACGTCCTTCACAACGTCCTTTCTTCCCCACCTTTGTTCTTCACCCCCCATTATGGGAATTATTATTACAGCCCCTCAATGAGAATATAACGAACGCTCTCTCTTTCTCTTTCTCGTTTGTCATTAGTTATTGCTGTAAACGTACTCGTCGTCGTCGTTGTCGTCGTCTACGCGCGAACTCGTTGCGTCAGCTTTATCGCCGCGACTTATTAAGTGCGGTGCACCATAACGTTTTCCGACGGGCGCACAAAAGCACGCGCGTTATTCATTCGGACAGCCGTGGAAAGTTTCCGACAATGCCCGGCGGCGGCGGCACGGCGCGGCGCGAGATCTTGAGAGAGTGCTCGCCGAAAGAAATTGCGCGAGCGATCAGTTATTACGTTCGTTTCGCATTTTCCAACGAGGGAAGCGAACTGGAGGAGTTTTTTTTTTTTAGAAGCGCACCAATTTTTTTCCCTACGTATATGATATTTTTTGTAGCCAACCCGGGTTTGTTGAAAATTCCGCGAGGAACAGGTGCTGTTTCGTTTTATTCATTCGCGCAGCGGTTCTTTTCTTTTTTTTTTTTTTTGTTTATGTTTATTTAAATTTACGAGAGCGGCGTCGGGATTTTTTTTTGAATACAGATTTACGGCGGCATCTCGCCGCCTTTGATATAATAATATTTTCATCGCTTGAGCGCGAAGATATTCGCTCTCTTGATTTGCATCACAATGACGTTCGGAAATGACGGGAACGGGAACACCGGAAAAGTGATAAATGTATTAAAAAAAAAAAAACAGTCCCCATTTTTTTCGTGCGTCAAGCAAGAGAGAGAGAGAGAGGTTTGCCCATGTCGAGTTAATATGCTAATTGCCGCGTTCAAAGAGCGGAACTAATTGAATTAAGCTATGCAAAAAGTTTTCGCCTCGAAATTAGCATGAATTAGAGAAGCCGCACCACCAGTCATCTCTCTCTCTTTCTCTCTCTCTCTCTCTCTCTCTTGTCTTATCACAGCGAACAGCTATTATTCAGAAACGTACAACCACCGTGTACAAAGGAGGAGACTCGCGCGGAAGTTTATTCCAAGTCGTAAAAATAACCGTCTTCCTTCTCACCTTTGGCGCAAAAATAGCACGCATAGCGGGAGACGTAGTTTCGCGAATAAACCGAGATCTTTTACACGCGCGTGCGAAGTTTCGGGTATTAATTTAACCGAGATCTATTTTTGATGGAGAAGACGAATGTCAAGGATTATCTTCTTGAAAAATTGTATCTTCGGTCTTTCTTCTTTCGTACAGTCACACGATGCGTCTCTTTTTTTTCCTGTCTTTTTGTCCCATAATGCGAATGACAAACACCACGTCGGGGTCTGTCTTATCCGACGGATAAACGAAAACGTATATCATTCCAATGCATTACTTCGACGCAATACACTCGCGCGCACACACTAGATCGGCAAGAGAGAGCTGCTACATGTGCATGTATGTGTGTGTACTGTTCTTCTCCCGCAAGGATGGACGCGCGCGAGGTTGGCAGGTCGAATCGGCACGACGACGCGACGCGGCGTCCCGTGAAACGAGAGGGACACGTCGCGGGACACACGATATGCGATTCGGTGCGTCGAAATACACACGTGTATATTTCTCTTTCTCTCTTTCCCTGTGGAAAACGCGCGATTTTCCCATTGTGACGGACAGTCCCATATTGTATCCGCCGCAGACACGCGTTTTGAACGACAGCTGCAATAGTGCAGGCGTCGTCGTCGTCGTCGATGCGGGCGAGAACCGGCGGGCGGCTCATTTCGAATCCGACAAACGAACGTGCCGAATAAAGGCCGGAACCGACGAGAGGCATCGGCCCGAGACTACCGCACAGGGCCGCATCGAGGAAACAAGTTACAATTTCTGCATTTTGTTTTATTATTTATTATTATTATTATTTTTTTTTTTTTGATCAAGGATAGAAACAAGTTTTTCGAAGAGAGAAAAGTTTTTTATTAAGGTTTCTATTTCGCTATACGAAATTTGTATATTTGCAAAATTTTAATTAAAATCGTAATTAAAATTATTTACGCGCGTTTTTTTGTTTTTACGGAGAGATTACTCAACCGCGACTGGTACCTAGCGCGAAATAGAAGTTGCAATATCTGATATAAAAAATCAAAAAAGAAAGTTAACTCGCGCGTTGATGCGCGTTACGTCAGAGACGTCTCGGTGAAAATCGAGCGACTACCTCGCTGCAACTGCTCACACACGCTCGCGCGTGGCGTCGTCGCTTGGTTTTATCGTGTTGCGGGCATTGCTATTGTTTCGTCATACTGCGCGCATCGCGCGATCATCGTTGTAAAATACGACGCCGTTTCGACACTGTGCGCGATCGGGCGTGCGACAGGCCGTAGGGATGAATTAGCCCTCTTGACACTCGAGATTTTATTAACTCGTTGAGTTACCGCCAATTTCGTGTCCGACACTACTTGCGCGGTGCAAACGGCTCCCGCGCATGTAACAAAGTAACAATCGCACCTTTTTTTCGCGTTCCGCGAGAAGAGAAATTTAATATCGAACATACGCACGCACACAGGGAGATAAAAAAAAAAAAAAGACAAAGAGAGAGATGGGCTTCGGAATGAGAGGCAAAACCTTATCGGTTCGCCTTCCAATTAGCGCACGTGCGAGGATCTTCGATTAATTAAAGTACGACGCGAGGAATGAGAGTACGTATACGCGGGCCGTTTCTTCGCGCTACTGGCTGAAGGCCATTGTCCCCGTTAATTAGTGCACGACGCACGTACATAATTGCCATGAGTTTATTCGCGACTAATTATAAACCTCTAATTAGCTATACGCTAGCGCGGAATCTAACCCTCTCTCCCGGCAGCGGGGGGCGGTGTAATCGCCCGTGATTTCCCGACGAGTGACATTTTATTGCAGGTAATGGCACTCGTAAGTGAAATCGACACGCACGTCAGTTTTCTTAGGACTTTCCAATAAATGATTCGAAAAGTAAACACGTTAGAAGGAAATTTCTCTTGCATAAAACACTGATCTATTTTTATTTACATTTGATTTATTTACATTCCTATATCAGAAAAGCGTGTGTAAATAATCACAATCGATTCTGTCGATCTTGATTGTTGCCGCTTTTATTTATTATGACGCTGATTGGACATTTCTCGGATGTGACTAAAGTACAGTCACGTGACTTTAGTCATGTGTTGTTTTTCCACTTCTTCTCTCACTTTTTTAAAATTTTGATTTTTATTCGTTATTTCTAACATATCTCTAATGTGAATTACATGGTTTGTACAAGACGTATATACTAAGTGTCATTGCGGTTGACAGATTGTGTTTACACTACACGTTAAAATAAAAACAATAATAG